CATCGTACTAAAGGATTCATATTGGCAGCTATAAGAGTCTGAGACTTCGTAAAAGGTGTTAGTGCATGCGACAGTAAATTCAACAGGAAATCCCTACACTTGAACGATTCCGGCTTCAGAATAGAATACGTTGGCATAAATTTTTTTTAATTTATTTTATAAAATATTTGCACCGCCTTATTGGTGGTGTAACAGAAGTTTTCCCACCTCCGCTCGGCAGTGACACGGTCTATCTTCCTGGACTCTCAAAAACTCGATCTTGTATACACTTCTTTTCTTCAAACACTGAAGTAAATCTCAATTGAGCCTTCGCATTGACGAAGCGAGACTCGTCGAACTCAAGTCGTCTCTTTTGTCATGGTTCCATTTCAATCTAATCACAATTATAGCAAAATTTCAAAATATACTTCAAATATGCAAACAATGGCTTCCAAAAGTAATTCTAAGAGTTCAACACTAAGTTCCATGAATTTCTTCCCAATATTTTCTTCACATTCTCAAAATTTTCGGATCTCCTCAATGTGGAAGAAATCCATGGTGAAAATTAATAATTTTTAACTTAGAGTGAAGCTCTTACCTAGAGTTGATCAAATCTGGTGTTTAAATGCCTTGAAATCGCCTCCCAATCCAAGATCTCTCAAGCCCTAGGTCAAAAATTATGTTTTTCAGAGGAAGAGGATGATGAATAGTGGCGATTGACTGGTCAAAATTGTGGTTAAAGATGTTTTTTCGAAATCTCGCCGTCAACGGGGTATTCGGCGCCGTCGACGCACTCTATTGAAATTAAATCCTAAGTCTCGGGAAAAGTCCGCCGTTGGCGGGCTTTATTGATTTGGTTCAATTTCTAGATTTTTGCAATTTCGATCAATTACAAGCCTCAACGACATTCATTCAATCATTATCATTCAATCATTATAGACTTAAATGATGTACTTATCACAAATTAACTTTCACAACACAACATCACAATTATATATAAATGCACAAAACATGACATTTATATATAAATTCCAAGAGTTACAATTTACGTTACATAAAACATCTATGTTTGATATTTTCTCAACCTCAATACATTAATTCAGTGTCGCAATCCAAGCCAAAACACTCAAAACACTAAAAGCAAAACATCTTATGCTTAGTCTCAACTATATAGAGATCTAAAAGCATAAGTTTAAAGCAAACAAATGCAATTCAAATCAAACTACATACATAGACAGACCGGTAGCAATATGAATCTACTATTCTTCAGATTCAGTATTACATTCTCATCTGAGATCACCCATTGATTGCACATGTACGAAGAGGTTATAGAAGGGTCGGTATGAAAATTCTTGAGTAGAATTCTCTTCTATCAATTTCATCCTCCTCATCACCCGTATAAAACTATCTTCTATATGTCCAGAGTGAGAAAAATGTTCTTTCATCCTCTAGTCTAGATGTTCGAAGAAATTGAAGATATTATTAATTGCATTCATGACATTTTACACCTCTAATTTCTTGATTCTGCGCAGGATCATCAAAGTCTTGTCCGGAACTAAAAGTTGAATCGACAGTGAATTCTGAGATGCTTGATTTATCATAATAGTCATGTCATTTTCATCTTCAAAAGCTGAGAATCGCTAAGTTGGGTCCAAAGGCTTCCAAGGTAGAAGTACATTTTCCCAATTTTCATAGGATACTTAGAACTGACTGCAAAGTGAGAAAATTGTGGAAGGGTGTCGAAGCCCATAAGTTGATCTATGAACGATCAGGCCCAAAATTGACCTCACAATTATTATCGATTGGCAGTCCTATTTGGATGCAGTAATTCAGAATAGCACTTTCAATAGTAACTTTATCGATCCTCATTCAGTAATAGCTTTACAGAAATGAAGAAGTGCCAGTGTTTAGAAACGAGATTTAGGAGTGCCGCAGAAAAACTAACATACCCATTTTCTCTCATTTCTCAGTCTTCAGTTTCATCCGTTAAATATTGGTAGAACTCATTCATTAGATTTCCTGTCGGGATGAAGTTGGAATAATGACAGACAGGAACATTCTCAATCATTTATAACTCATTAATTTATGTAGGAGTAAAAGTTATCCATCTACCTCACACATAGATGACTCCCTGGTTGATCCCATGCAAATTAGCATAAAACGCCTTTACCACAGAAACAACTACGGCAGCTGTAGTGTAGCAAAATACTTCCCATCTTCATCGCACAATCATCTCTTTAATTGCCATCAAAGGATTATTCAATCCTCGATTCACGAATCCTCTTTCCTTGATTAATCTCTTCTTTATCAACACTTTGTTGAAAATTCGTTGCGCCTCAAAACTAATAAACTTTCTTTGGTTGAACACTCGCAATCTATGATTTTCAGGAGAATTAGACGCCATAGGGATGAATTTGGTGGAGTTTCAATTCATTTTTGGGGAAACACAAAGTTAGAAACCAAATTTTGAAGTTTATAGGGAGTAACTCCTGCCTAAAACTGCTAAAAACCGTCATTTCAAACTCCAGAAACCATCATCCTGCCGTTCTCGCTGTCAGCGACGTCGATGGCTCCGTCGGCGAGCCTTTAGAATTAATTGCCTGGACTCTCGGGAAAACCCACCGTCGGCGGCGGCAT